GTCGCTTTTCCCCCTCCGATTTTCACCCCCACATGACAACATTTTAACTAACTGCCTGACAAATACAAAACAGTATAATTTTTCAATTAGCAAATGATAAATCAAACTAACACTCAACGGCCGCTGGGATGCGGGGACGCGGAGGCGCGGGGAGCTGATGTCAAATTGAAAATTCAAATGCAGTCTTAGTTTATTAATTGCTCGAACCGATGGTCTGGATGGGGGAGCTTGGAAAATTGCTCAGGCTGATGCGATTCATAATTACGCATATAAGCAACTATTTTGTTTATTTAATGCAATTAGTGACGGCGTACTCGAAGGAGAACTTGTAATGGCCTGACTATGGGATTACAGGGCAAATCGTTTGAAGTATGTATGGGGATGATGAAACGATAAACAATACTTAAGTATTGCAAATATTATTGATGAAATTCCTCAAAAACAATTACTCATAAATGTAGACTTGAGCTTATAAGGAATCTGAATCTTTGTAAAGTTTTAATATAGAAATATAAAATATAGTGTAAGACCAATTAAAATAAATTACATCTCATTTACAATGCATTATTTGTTCAATCTTGTTTGCATTTATTCATATTCCTGCAATAAAATATACCAATTAATTATGAAACTAAGAAACAATTCTGTAGTCACTGTATGTGCAGAATTAATGACATTTCAGCTTTGTTGTAAAGGCCACCGTTTTATTGGATATTTTGCAAATAAAGGGAAAATTAAAATGTAATTTATGCATAACTGTAAAGATAACTTTCAACTGGATTCTAGCGACGGTCGATAGGGGCTGAAGCAGGAAATAAAATTGGCACTTAATGGTCCAGTTCGGTTGAGTCATTAGGGCTTGTTGAACAAGCCCATAAATGTCACAGCGAGTGCGCGAGTTATCAAGTCGAGTAACAAACAAATTTCCAATCGCTTGAGCAGAGTAGGAGACACAACTCCAGCTGAGTTCACACGGCTCGAGCAGGCTGCAATGAATTCACATTCAATTAACTTCTCGCCTCATTTGAATAGCAGGGCACACGTTCGGAAATGCTAATTGGATATTAAATACAAATAAATATATTCGATTCGCAGGCAAGTCATTGCCATTTCCACATTTCTGCTGATTAATTGATTTCTTTTTGTTTTGATTACACTCGAATATGCCACCACAGTCGTAGATCCTCCTAGCGAACTTGTCTGCTCCTAACGAATGACTTAGGCAACGAACTTGCCACTGCGGCAGTGGCAGTGGCAGTGGCAGTGGCAGTGGCAGTGGCAGTGGCAGCCTTCAGCCTTGCAGCTAGTTGCCTTCATTAGTTGACTGGAGCTTATATGCTAATGGCGCATGTGGGTCCACTTGCAGCCAACGTGTCCTGCTGTCAGACCGGCCACTAAACTGGCATTTATGCGCAGCACCTGTTGGGTGCCACCGCCTGTTAGACATTAATCCGTGGCATTTAGTTACGCTTTAATAAGATTTCTTCCTCCCGGCCAGTACGTTCTTCTCGGTCTGCCGGGGAAAGCTGGAAAGTATTCATTGCTCGCCTTGTTCTTTTTTATATATATTTTTTATTCTTTACTTTTTTTTTTTTTGCTGCGGCAACCGAAGCTGCAGACAAAGCGACGCGCTGCATCCACCGCAAACCACAGGCGGCTGGCTGGGCTTTCCATGGCTGTGGCGCCCCATTTTAACACCCGAGTGTGTGTGTGGTTATTAAAATACCAAGACTTTTGCCTTATTCATGGTATTAACTGCCTTATAGCAGGGTAGTCAGGCCAAAAGGAGAAGTTATGTTAAAAGAAGTAGGTGAAGGATGCTGATTACAGTGTTTAATGGTAATAAAAGCTAAAGAAAACTATGCCTTGAAATGGCAAGGAGCAAGGTCCTTCTTAAGCCAAAAAAATTAGAACTCCTAAAAAAGTCACGTTTCTTCATTCCATTTCCTTTGTTTACTTTGTCAGTTAATCAATGAGCCTATAAGCTTTTAGAGTTATTTATAAACTATGCCTGTAATTTTCTTTACAAAAAAAGATAGTACAAATGGACATGCTATAGCAGGGAAATAGATGTAATTTGTAAAAGCATATTCAATTGTTTAAAATTCTTGGCTAATAATGTCAAGATAATTGTTAGTGTATGTTAAGTTCTCATTACGCTCAGGCGGCATCTGTGCCTCTTCCGATCTAATGGAATTTCAGTAATGAGGAAAAAAAGAACTGTTCCCCAACGTGAGTATTATGTTCTTCGACGGCATGCCATCGACATGATCGGCGGCATGCAAATGGGCACCCGTCGGATGCCTGTGGCTTGTGGAATATCTAACGAGTGTTGAACTAATTAAGGTCGAGCACACCAGACCTATATAAGGCTTCGCGGCAAAAATACATCATGCACTCTCGGCCGGATCGGAGCCATTAAGAAATTACACGAATTTCGAACTTCAGCCAGGCAAAAGTGCAACTGTTATATGGCCAAGAGATCGGGTTCGAGATCGAGATGGAGATCGCTGAAAGGGCAAACACTCTTGAGTTGTACGCCTGAACACTCGACTTGGAAGTGGAAGTAGCAGGGGTAGGGGCATCCCCCTGATCTGGGATCGGGGAGGATGACGGCTGAGACAATGCCGGATGATGATGATCTGCCAAGATCAGGAGGCAGATCCAGATCTACCCAAGGAGCCAGTGAGCAATTCATTCATATTTGTATTTACTTAACTTTGCCGATGAGGAGGATGATGATGGTTCCCGAGGAGGAGATGCGTTGATGATGACTTGCACCTTAACAAGACCTGAATCTGTGGCTCTTTTCTGCCTTTCTGCCTTCATATTTCCACCCGATATGATGATATGAAAGGCGCAGTCTTGCTGCGAGTGAGTATATATTTTTATGGGACGCCCGTTGGCCGTGTAAATGGAGTTTCGACAGCCTAATTGGAGATCAACGCAGTATAATTGTCTGGCCAGGTTGAGCTGCCGCTGCCACTGCCTCTGCTCCGGCTTCTGATGATGAAGTCGTGGCCCGAGAACAGGTGAATGAATTTGTGACAGCCGCACAAAGGCAAATGATGTATTGATAGCATCTGTTTCGGGAGGAGGAGCCGGAGCAGGAGCAGGAGCAGGAGCAGGATCCGGTGCCGGAGTGAAACGGCAGCCAAAGCGGCAGGACGTCTGCAGCAATTCGATTCAGGGGCTGTGAGTCAAAAAGTCTGGACTTTTATGCCGATGCCGAGCCAGAGGCCTTTGTTGCCTTTTTAGGCTGCCAGTTGTTATTATTCCGGCTCTTCAGGCTTTGTTGCCTCCTCTTTTATGATAGGACAAATGCAAATTGAGGGCTGTAATTTTTGTTACAATTTGTTTTCTCTTTTATGATCTGCTTCAGATTTATCAGAAGTCCCTCCTTAGCTTTTAGCTCCTTTTATACCCTTTGCAGGGTATCATTTTATTCAGACGCTTGTCACTCAGTGAAGGAATCATTTGCGACCCTATAAATCATATATATTCTTGATCAGAATCGATAGCTTAATCGACCTTGCTATGTCCGGACCAAATATAAATTTTTCAAAAATTTTCAATTTTTTGACTATATGTCAAAAATGTGATTTTTTTAAGATTTAAAACAGAGTATGCAGATTTGTTAACCTACTAAAAACTAGCATAGAAACGTTCTCCGAATCACACATTTTTGGCCAAGTTATGAGAGTTTAAAACTTTGATTAATTGAGAAAATTGTCATTTAAGAATATATAATCTTCGGCTTCCCGAAATTAGTTTACTTTCTTTTTAATTTATGGCTTGTCTTTTTTTTTGAGGTTGTGATACAACAAAGTAACTTGCTATTTAAAATGTATTTTAAATCGTGTTTCTTTCAATGAATAAAGGTTAAAAATTCATTCAAAATCATTCATTTCCAGATATTGACTCTTTGTCAATAAAAAGTATTCGTTAAAATCCATAAGTTGGGCAGATGCTTATTAAATACCTAATGAAACATATATTATTTCGATTTATTCTTGTAACTTACTAATTCAACTTGTAAATATGTACTTGTAAATATGTATGTACTTGTAAATATGTAAAATATTATTCAAAAAAAATAATAAAAATAATTAAAAAATAACGTCAATCCTTCGAGCCGGATTTGAACCAGCGACCTATGGATGTCTACTTTGTGAAATCTCCAGCTACAGTCCACCGCTCTACCAACTGAGCTATCGAAGGTCTATATATGGTTCGACGCGAAACGAGTTCATAAACGAACCGAATGAAAGACAACTTATCAGCAAAAGCCAAATTTAAGTGGCTGCAGTGCCTCGTGGTCGTGGTGAAGGGGACTCGCTGGGGACCGGAGGGGAAATGAGCTTGGCTTTATGCAGAGCCAGCAGCAAATGAATATCGAATGTGAGTGGCGATTGTTTTGGATTTCTCGTTTTCGGGGAGATGAAACGACTTCGCGCCGGGTGTAAACAAAGCCAGTGCGTATCTGAGGGTGACAATTAACGTGCCCACCTAGTAAACGCCGGCCGTGAGTCATCTCCCCGGGATGCTACATACATACATTTATTTGTGATACGCAACAAAACATCTACGCAGCATCGCCTGTGGCCTGAAGTGAATCATGCCGCAGGCGCGCAGAAGACACGATCCGTCTTATCAGTCCAAAGGGTCCAGAGTCCAGAGAACTCTCCTGGAGGCCTAGGAGTCGTTTCCCGGCCATGTCACGAAGGCCACAGCAGCCGCTCTCGGACAAAGTGTGTTCCCGATAAGCCAAAGGGGCAATTTTTGACGGCCCAAAAGGTAAAGACGCAGGGGGAAATACTTAACAAACCAATTAGGATGCCAAAAATGCGGCAAGTCATAAAAATCGAATAACGAAAACGGCCAGCGTACCAATATCAGTTGATCTATATGTGTATATAACTTAGAGATGGCAGCGTGACAAAAATAAGAGAAGGGGAATTAATTTAAAACCTTTTATTTAACAAGGTTAGTGTGTTGTTATTAATCAAAATGGAAAACAGGAGTTTCATGATTAAATATAACACAAATAGCAGTCTCAGCTTGAAGTACAGACCGTTTATAAAGGTGGCCTAATTGTTTACACAACCGATAGCTCTCGAGTTACTTCTGGAGAAAATCAGCCCATAACTAATAGCCTTTTCTGTATGTACTTCCCAAAATATCGACGGTATTATCACGACCTTCCACTGAGGACTTCCATCCCTAATGCTGGTCAGAAAAGGTTAGCCAAGAAGTGGATTGGAGGAAGCGGAGCGAAAAAACTGACAGCTTACGGATAATTACCGACAAAACACACACACAGATGCAGTCTTAGCCGCCCGAGGAGATGAGGGACAGGTGAGAGTGGAGAGGTGAGAGGGCAGGTGAAGAGGGGGAGAAGAGCTAAGCGCCATGAGCGGCGATTTGTGTGTGATCCATTGAGCAAGGCCCAGGAGTTAGGGCCAACTCTAAGAGTGTCTGTGTGTGCGGATCGATTGCCCAGGAACGTCTTGTTAGATAAGGAAAAATGATTCCCGCGGTGAGGGTTCCATGAGCTATTGGTAATTTGCCCAGGTATGTTACAACAAATGTTCATAATTTTTAAGAATGACTCGGAATTGGAATTTCGGATGGACTTAGTTTCTCCCTTTTAGAATTTCCAGCCAGTTTTTGCTTATCAACGGTCTTCGATCAGTTCGTTCGGTCGGTCGGTGAAGCCCCTTGATCTGGGTATCAATTTCCCGCTATGATTGAATGAATTTTCCCAACAGCCGCCCCCTGCCTCGATATGTGGGCGTTGTCCTATCTCCCGGATAGATCTAAAAAATTGCCAAGTTCCTAGAAAACCAATCGGGGAGTAGTCCTTGCCAAATCAAAAGGACCCCCGAGAGGACTCTATCGTCTCGTCCGGCTTTGTGTGTGGCAAGTCAATGGCTCTTAGTTTCGTCTTTGCCTCCTGATGAGTCAGTTAATTGAGCCGAAAAAAAACGCACTGTGTCCGGTCTTGGATATGGAATGGGTAAATTAATTTACTCTCCCGATAAACCCAGTCGAAATCCCCTCATGACTCATCCAACCCGTGTTGTCTTGTTGGGAGCTCACACGAAAAGGGTATTGCATCTTGAGATTGATTTTCATTTCATTCGGTTTTGTAATAGCTTTCTATCAGCAGTTCTATAAATACACAAAGGTCGAATCTAGGTTCTCAACTACAGCAGACTCTAGGGCAATCCCCACATCTATCAAGGGAGCAATCTATAGTGCGGTTTAGCCTAGTTCACCTATACTTTTATTTACAAACATTCACTAAGTACTTCTTAGTAAATAAATAACAATAAAGGAAACTAACTTCGGCAAGTTTATATACCCATGCAGTTGCAATTAAAAAATATAGGATCGAATCAGAAATCTAGCATAATTAAGCTTAAAATATTCGCATTATTTTAATAAATTGCAACCGATTTTTTATATGACAATTTTGGTACAAAATCAAAGTTTAAAAATCTCACAACTTACTCAAAATTACATTAATTTCCAATCGGAAAGCATTTCTATGCAAGTTTTTAAGAGGCTAACCAATCTGCATACTCAGTTTAAAATCTTTAAAAATTCCTTATTTTTGACAATATTAACGATATAACCCCTTATCTTTTTTTTAAATTGAACAAGAATATATATGATTTATACGGTTAGAAATGATTCCTTCAAAGAGTTTTTAGCTTCAGACTAAAATTACAAGCTCAAAATTCGTTGAAAAAGATTATAAATTAAAATATATGAGTAATACTTATATATTTCTCTCTATAACGAATGATTTTCTACCTCCCGTTTTCTCAAAAATTCTATATAATATTGATTCAATTAATTTAAAACTATAAGTCAGATCATTTCAATTCTTGAAATCATTAAACGTTGTGGCGTAATTCCATTTACTTGACATTGATTTAAAGAATCAATGGAATGCGATTGAATTTTTGTTGTTGGCTATACTACTACAGTATGTATAATTTATTACCCAACCTTATCAGCATCAAAGTTCATTCAGCTGTTTGAATAGTTTTTTTTTCCAGATTCCCGTCATCTCATTTGCCAGCAATTTGTAAAGCTCAGCTGGACAGTTTCCAAGAAAGTTGATATGCAGGCTGATCGTTATCAAACGCTTAGATCTGACTTATTTAGTGTCACTTGCATCAAGTCCCACAACAAATTACCCGTTGTGCCGCAAGTTTAATAGCTGGTTTTCTGATTTATTTACATTCAATAAATGCTTCGCTTTCCTTATGCTCTAATCTAAATACTTAGTATAAAGCACTTTTTGCACACGCTTCTTATCTTCGACCAACGCTCAACACGTACCTGTGGCACTGATTTTTTGTTGTGTTTAATGCTGTGATAAGCGCTTTGCTTTGTTTCGCTCGATTTAGTTACTTCTTGAGTTAAAATTGATAAGCGAGCGAAATTTGGTATAAACACCTGAGCAGACAACGCCTTCGATAGCTCAGTTGGTAGAGCGGTGGACTGTAGAGGTATTCAAAAATGCATTAATCCACTGAGGTGGTTTCTAAAAGCAGGCATCCATAGGTCGCTGGTTCAAATCCGGCTCGAAGGATTTTTTATACATTTTAAGGCCACAAAAGAAATCAAATCTAATTGACAAATATTTTGCATATTTTTAAAGCTCTGTTTCTAATTAAATCTAGTTTAAAATGAACACCTGCACTGATAACACCTTCGATAGCTCAGTTGGTAGAGCGGTGGACTGTAGAGGTATTCAAAAATGCATTAATCCACTGAGGTGTATTCTAAAAGCAGGCATCCATAGGTCGCTGGTTCAAATCCGGCTCGAAGGATTTTTTTAAACAATTTTTAGACCATTTCAAATAGAGTTTCATATTTAAAAATCTATGTCTTTAATTGAATCTACATTAAAATTAACATATGAACTGATAACACCTTCGATAGCTCAGTTGGTAGAGCGGTGGACTGTAGAGGTATTCAGAATGGAAAAGCAGAAATCCATAGGTCGCTGGTTCAAATCCGGCTCGAAGGATTTTTTATACATTTTAAAGCCACAAAAGAAATCAAATCTAATTGACAAATATTTTGCATATTTTTAAATCTCTGTTTTTAATTAAACCTAGTTTAAAATGAACACCTGCACTGATAACACCTTCGATAGCTCAGTTGGTAGAGCGGTGGACTGTAGAGGTATTCAGATTTCAAAAGCAGGAATCCATAGGTCGCTGGTTCAAATCCGGCTCGAAGTATTTTTTAGTATTTCTATTTTCTATTTCAAAATTTTGTTTATTTATAGACATACAAGAATTTGGCAAATACAATTTCCAATAAAGAAACCTCTTTAGTTCTTATTTTGCAGACTGATCAAAGCCCAAGTGTGTGGTAGAATTCATACTTGGAAATTTAACGATTCAGTTGCAGCAACAACTTACCTCCTCATTTAAATAAATAAACTAAAAGTGAATATATTTTTTTTTAATAAATTGTTTTTCTTTTATATTTTCCATCTTTCTTTTTCCTCAACGCTCTCGCATCATCTTCATCATCATCTTCATCAAAAATATGCTTTGTTTTAAATAAATAAAATAATAAAATTTATATGAAAAGTTACATATACAAATCGTGCTCTGCAACATCAGGCACGAATCGATATTTCTCATTTCCTCGAGTTTTCTTTTTTTATGTGGTTTTTTCTTTCCTTCAGTTTTTCTTTTTCGTCACTATTAATTTATCCAACATGCTGAGCTTAACGGTTAGGACTTATGTGGCTAGATTAATTAACGTTTACGGATTTATTCGAGCTTAGCTTAGAACGCATAACGATGTAAATAGTTATTCATATATTTATAGAGCATACTTTTTTTTAGTGCAGAAAGTTATCGTTCTTTCTATTTGTTTATACAGTTATAGTTACGTTTAGTTGAATTCGGAACGATGTTTAAATACCATTTCGTTTTGTGTGCTAATGGATGAGTGTGTGTGTGAAAGTGTGTGTGTGTGAGTGTATTTAGTACATATACAAGAGTTACATATGCCATAACTGATAGTTCCTAGATAATTTCAAGTCATTATTCATTCATTCATCGATTTTATACTCGTTAACTAACTAATTTACAATGGATTGCTTTATAAAATTATTAACAAAAAAACGTCTAGTCGAAGAGTTCTCCTTTCCATATATATTCATACGTAGACCAGAGCTGCTCACTTGGAGTCCTGCGATCCTTCAGGACCCTCTGCTAGCAGCTCTGACTTGCATAAATACCAAAGTATTCGCGTAGATATAGTAGTTTTTATATATATTAGCATTTCTATACAATTTGTTCAATTGGTCTCCTCACTCTCTAATCCGAAATCTTCGCTTCTTCTCCAGCAGCTCACGGGAGGGGGACACGAGGTGGTCCGGTTTTGGAGGAGGACATGGCATGGCGGCTATTTACAGTGGACTCTGCGCTCACTCTGCTCCGGGGGATTCCCCAGCCTGGCTGGGGAAGGCGGACAGAGGCTCCCAAGGTTTGACGGACGAGGGTGATGGGTGGTGGTGGTGGTTTTGTGGGCGTGGTTTGTAGTTTGTGGGCGTGGCTGCAGCCGGATACATACGATTAAAGTCTAACGATTTACACTTAAAATTCAAATATTCAGTCCATTTTGTTTGCGTTGTGTTTAAAGCATTGACGGCTTGGAACCAAACAGCATTTGATGCTCTCTCGCTCGCTTCTCGATCTGCGATCTCCGATCTCCAATCTCCAATCTCCGATCTCCATCTGCACTCCGGGCTATAGAATCTCGAATCTATCGACAGCCACAGCCCACCACGGTCATCTCCTGGTAGTTCTTCAGCACCACCGTACTTTGGTCATTGAGATAGAGCATGGCCACGCTGTCCAGTTGCGTGGGCACGCAGCAGGCCTTCGGCACCTTGCCGGGATTCAGATTATTGACCAGCGTCTGGACCACGGCATGGTTCGTGGAGTTCAAATGATCGGCCAGCGGGAACGGGCACTTGCCGTGGCAGTAGAACGCATCGTAGCCCAGCGGCGCCACAATCCAATCATCCCAGCCCACGTCCGAGAAGTCCACGTACAGCGAATGCCGCCGGCACGTGTCATCGTGGTTCTTGCGTCTCCGCTGGTGTCTCCTATTCCTACCGCCGCCGCCCTTGCCAGAGCCACCACCCTCGCCACCACCTCGCTCGGACACATCCCGTATGGAGCGCGCCTTGTGCCGCCCATCATCCGTGTAGGTGAACAGGAGCGGCTGCTTGTGCTGCCAGCGTTCGTGCGCCTCGTCCGCACTCCGTCGCAGCCGGACATGATGGTGCGGCGCCGGCTTCAGGGAACGCACAGTGCGAACCTCCACCAGGAGCCCATAGTTGCGCTTTGGCTCCGCCAGCCACCGATCCACGGCCGGCTGGACATCTAGGCTCACCGTGTCCGTACTGTTCAGCCGGACCGTCTTGGTGTCCAACAGCAGGTAGCCCGGCTCCCGCTGTCCCCGGAGCCCCACCTGCGTGATGTCATAGACGAGCACCTGGTAGCGCGTCCTATTCACCGCCGCCGCCGACGATGCCGTCCTGGCCACCACCTGCGGACTGAGTGCATCGCGGGTTAGCTGCAGTTCCGCCGCCTTCAGTTTCTCCTCGGCGGGAATGCTCTTCACATCGAAGTGGAGGCGAAACCGATGATGGTGCGGAAACCGATCGTCGATTTTACTATCTGCAAGGAAAGATAAGGAAATGCAAAGTTGGGACATGAGTTTTGCTATAAGGATATTATATAAATTAATAATAAGTCGCTATATTGCTTAAATAAATAATCTCTGTGTGTGAGAACCTAAAAAACGAATTGAGTTTTTTGTGCAGACCCTGCTTCCAGATGTATATTTTATGGTTCTGCGATTGGGATCCGGCAAATTAAGCCGGACTATCCGACAGATCAAGTGCATGAGCCTTTGCTCGATCGGTGGGGTTATGGGATGAGCAGATGAGCAGGGCGTTGTCTACCTGACAGTGGTAACATAAGTACCTTCCTCCTGCTTAAGTACACTCGAGCGTGCAATACAATCCGGGACAAAAGAAGGTCGAAATCGCACGTTCCAGTTGTCCAGCCAGCCGCCTTTTTACGACTGGCGCCTGCGCTAAAGACCTGGCCCACCCCGGCCTACCTTTTCGGTTCTGATCTGTCTATATCTGGTCTCAGTGCCTAGGCCATACCATACCATATCCTATCCTATCCTATGCGGCAAGGTGCAAACTCTGCACGCTTGCCGAAAAATCTTAATTTGAATCGCCGCCGCCGCCACCAACGCTGACGGTCTCAAGTGCCTCACACAGGGAAGCGACGAGTCGTAAATTCTTTTTTGGGAAGCAAAAGAGTCCCAGTGCCTATGCCTATGAATTCGATCCCAAAAGACCGGCACAGATGCGTACCGAAAAGTGGCAAAAACTCGACTCGACTCTACAAACGCGGCTTAGACACTTGGCTTTAGACACTTGGGCTTCGGTTACCTGCTCTCTAAACTGCTTTATTGTTCGACCCTCTAATCCTGCGGAAAATAATGCGAAATACGCTTTAATAATAATTGTTATTTTTACAAATACAATATAAAAGCCATTTAGCGCATGCGCTAAGCGATCCTGGTGTAATTCTCGGGAATATTTTCAAGGTCACTTTCGGGACAACATTGCCGGTGCAGGACAGGCAAAAAGGACACTCGTGTCGTGTCCCTTTTGGCCCACGCATCCTGCCGTCGCCTTCATTTTTGGTGTTTCATTTTGGAAAGCCGCGGAATTTCCGCGTGATTTCACAGCGCTTGCGTGAATGATACAGGTAAGGATCGAAGGATCCTGCAGGAGCAGGTATGCAAATCGCTTAAATCGATGAAACGGAATTTCAGGGAAAATCCGAAGTCTCTTCATTCGCATTTTGGTAGCGGAAAGTACGCGTTGCAATGAGTGGGAATCTAGATATATCTATACATTTAGGGGAATGCAGATCGAAGCCTTTTCCGAGCAGGTGGAAATATCAGGTAAGCAAAGTGATGGCAAAGTGATCCTACTATTTAATGGTATCAATTTAAATTCATTTCTAGTATAAGGAAATTCTTTTCTAATAAACTACTTTAGTTACTTAATTTAATGCGCGTTGAGTGCTCGACAAATTTAATTTAAAAGACGAACTCTTACATTAAATTAAAAACATATATCTGAAGAATAATTGGAAGTGTCTTTCTAAGATATATATATATATATTATCTCTTATTACTTAAATAGCTTATAAAATTGTTCAAAAAGTAATAAAGTCTTGCAACGGTTATTAGCAATAACCAACTATAAATTTAATACCAATTTGCTAACAAATAATAAACTTAATAGTTGCAATTATAATAAAGCAAATAATGTAGCCAACAATTTTGGATTATAGCTCATTTCCTTGGCCAGATTTATGCCTCTTAATATCTCCTCTTGAGGCTATTTATATTGTATATTTTAGTAATTAAAGGTGGCAATTAAAGGCGGTATCCACAAAGATAAACTGAGTCTCCATGCAATTGTAATTTATAAACCAATTTCTTCATTACTTTCAGAGTGAGTTATTAAATTCAAAACTGAAATGCAAACTCCTTGCGGTATATATTCAAAATCTAATCAAACTGTAATAATAATTCCGCTAATTTGGGAGCTATATCCTTTGCTTTAATTAGTAGAAAATGAAGAGGAAATTATGGAACTCACCTTTGTGTGTAAAACTTCGTACTGTATTGGCCGACTTGGTCAGCAGTCCCGGCTTGGGTATGTTGACCGAGCCCAGCTCGTGGCCCATTATCTCGGCGTAGAGCTTCTTCATTGGCTCCGGGATGATGATCTTGGAGCGGTCGATCTTGGCGGCCGCTTCATGTTGAACAGCGAGAGGAGGCTGTTCTCGATCTCGACTAGAGTGGAGGGATCTGGCTTGAGCTTCTCCTTGCTCAATCCCTTCTTGCTGTAGGTCGATGGCTCCTGTTCGACAATAATAGCCTGCGCGTTGGCCGGCACGCTAATGGTGGCCATCTCCTTGTCCAGGATCAGCGTTGGCTCCAGCTCCAGCTTCTTCTGGTGCTCCTCCTGTTGATGCTGCTCCTGCTGCTCCTGCTGCTTCTCCTCTTCCACCGCAAAGATGGACTCGATCCTTGGCTGCTGCGACTCACTGATGGAGTCTGGCCTGTGAGGATGCTGCTCCTTCTGCTTGCGCTTCTGCTCCTTGACAGCCATTTTGTTGTTATTTGTTTTATTAACTAATTGTTTAGACTTATTTTTGGAATTTTCTAATTGGTCTGTTCTTGGTTTATGCACTTCGTTGAACTGTCGGTTCGCGTCACTTTTGCTTTTGCTTTTGCTTGTGCTTTTGCTAGGTTTGCTTTTGCTGTTATCACTGATATCACTGCCTCTGTAGAAGGGCGGCTCGTTGAAGGGTTGAAGGTTAAATGCTCTCGCCAAGGCGGTGCTCTCGATGGGCCGCTGGGGCGCAATGGCTGCGATGAATCTCAGGGATATGTCCTCGGTGCTAGCAACTCGAACGATCGTTTGAAAAGTCGCCAGCACTGCGAGGAGTAGAAGCCATGCGCGCATGGTCGCTTGCAACTCTGAAACGATACAAAGGCAAAGACATGGGTTAATCGGATGCGATGGCGATGGCAATGGCGATGCGAGGCGATGCGATGCTCCTCGGCTCGGGCAAGGGTTATATGGTTCGTCTTCTTCGGCTTTTGCCTTCGGTTATCTGGATTTCACTCAAATGGAGCGAGTGAAGAACACTCACACTCTAGCTCACTGGCCATGGGCGCAAGCGGGATGACTATAGGTTACGTCCAAGAGAGAATCCAACTCTTTGGCTCGTTGTCTTGTGTGTGTGTGTGTGCGTTGGACGACGTGCGCCGCTCGACTGAACGCTGGGCTCTTCCTCTTCGTCAGGTAAGAGGCAGCAATGCTGGCAGAGCCAGCGACTGCAGCAGAGGCAGCGACTGCGACAGAGGCAGCAACTGCGACCTGCAGGCATCGTTTCCTTTTTTTTCCTCTTTCTTTCTTGGCCCATTTGAGCGAGAGAGAGCCCATCGGGGTGAAAGGTGCAACTAAAAAATGGTCGCTCTCTCATAAGCACTCACACACACACACTTGGGCGCTCTTTCGCTCACCTTGGCCAACCCCCTCTCTGTCGCTCTCGCACTCCCCTTGGCAAGTGTTGCAATTGCTGGCGGACATTGCACCTTTTTTTTTTGCACTGCAAGACGATCTTTTGGGCCATTTCGGCATGCCAAGTGCATCGTTTTATGTCTACGAATAGAAATTCAATCCAGTGAAGCCCTTATTAACCCCTCTCCCGCCGGGTTTGGGGAGACCACCCCATCCCCCCAATTCTTCAGTTATTCCTCAGTTATTAGAGTAGCTTCGATCGTCATATTTTCCGCTTTATCGCCGCGCTTTGATTTACAAACAGGCGGCAAATGCACAAAAAACAACCAGCCCCCCCTCTAACTCACATATCTGGAAAATTTATGAAAATTATTAGAAGTATTCTATATATTTTGGTTATAGGCTATAAATTTCCCAGATTTTATCTCAAGATGAGCCCCGACGAAAAAGAAAAAGGTGCTGCACACACACACACGAACACCTAGAACAAATTACATGTTGTTTTTCACATAAAGATTAGCATCTTATCTTGTACTAAAAAAATTTGTTATATGACAGGGCGCTTAGACGCAAAGGAAATTTTGTGTTCTTTCTTGTCGAAAATGGTTAAATTGGAATCGGGATTGGACTAGAGATTGGAATTGGAATAGGGATTGGAATCGGGATCGGGGAAGATGGCACACGCTGGGGGTGCAGAAAAGATCTCGGGGCCCCGATAAGAAAAGAACTAGAAACTAAGGACAGAGGGAGAGAGATCCGGGAAGGGAAAGGGTGAATGAAATTGAATTTCATAAATATGTTTATGATTTGTTCATAATTTGTTGTTTGTTTTTAATATGTTCCCAGAAATCCGTGGGTTGCGTGTGTGGTTTCAGTTTCAGTCTAGGTTCCAGGTTCTGATTCTCTTAGTCGCATCTAATGATTTCCTCCTCTACCTGACCTGCGACGTGTGATCTGGACAAAACGGGGGTTTCCCCTGGGCCATGAATGTTCGGACTATCCCAGGGTTTTCCAAGCTCTCCGTCCATTCAACGCAACCAGATACTAACATATATTATAATGTTATAGTACGACTGCGTATATAAACTCAAAACTCAGCTCAATTCGAGCTGTGAAATGTCGCAAGCCCCTGCTAAAGTTCAAATTTCAGCTTTTTGTCGCAGCGCCCGAAATGTTTCGCAAATTGACACATTTTTATTAACGGTTTGATTCCGGTTACCCAATACCCAAACACAAAAACTCTCATATATATATGGTATATAGTGTATATAGGGTATAGTAATCTGTGCCGCACAACGTCAGCAATTAGATTGGTTAATAATAAACGCAAACTCTAGCGGAGACCCAGAAAACCCTTGGATGCTCACGCACCCAGCAGATTAAACAATGGAAGTCTATATTCTTTTCGGTTATTTATGTTCCAGGATATTGACATTTTGGTCTTTGTGTGCTGCCGCCACTGCTTTTTATGTTCCCTCTTTATTTTTTGTTTTTAAGATTGTTTTTAAGATTGGTTCCCACTTCTCGAGAGGGTCTCTGGGACTCCTCTCTCCTCCAACTATGATATTAGTTGTGTATCAGAACGGTACTTTATTGTGCCGACCAACAAAGGTCGCGGGAGTTATGGTTTTCCCGGAAAATGAAGCACAATACAATTATGATATATACGTGGGGAAATATTTTGATTGGGCGCAGCGAAAGATTAAATTAGAAACAGGTGAAGGGAGAATCACGCCCCGTTTCGGAGGATATAGAAATCTAACCAATTGGTTTATATTTTTAAAGAAATTTAAGAAGGAAATTTAAAATGGAATAGTTTTTGTTTAGATAGTTAATTATCTAAGTTTTAAGTGGGCCATAAAAGTAAAATTAGAAATATTTAAAGAACTTTAGAAATGATAAAAGTAACGTTCTATTATTATTGAACATTATACATCTCAAAAGTTATATAATATTCTTTCAAAAAATGCCCGACTTTGCATTAGCTTCCAAGCTAAAGTTCATTCTCACATAAACGACCCTGAGTAAAAGAATACCCCCACAAGGCATATCTGGCATATATCCCATTACCAATTCTTATAGCCAACTTCTGCTCGGTTTCGCCCAAAAGAATAACTTTGAAATTTCTCAAATATCCCGTTTGCGAAAATGCCACATGCCATCGAACATGGCGAACAACAAACCCGGAGCGAGCATTCCAAGTATTTTTCAATATCAAATGAACTTTGGTATCGAATGGTATCCATTGTATAATGGTTCATTTCAGTTCAGTTTATTTTTTGTGTGCAGTTCTCACAGCTCGCAGCAAGTTCAAATTTTTTCTGACACATTTACATAAGCTTAGCGGCAGCCGAAAAATAAATTTGGGTAGATCGAAATATCAAGAAAATCGGCTAAGACAGACGAAAGACAGCACACCGACGACGAAGACGACACTCACCTCAGTCTTATAAAGTTTCCTATGGTCGAGTAGTGTGTGGTATCGCTTGATATTGGATCTCCGGGGGCCCCGTATCTAAGTCGAGTATTGATACGACATGTGTTCGGTGGTTATTAATTGGAAAGCCGTTTGATGGATCGCCCGAAAAGCAAGCAAAATAGGAGCGACCAACTGTCTCGTCGTTCCACTGAATTTATGACGTCTGGGGGATCGCAATCCGACTCGGATTTGGATTTCGGATTCGGATTCGGAATGGGATCCGTTATCGTTTCGGCTTTCGCTTACACTTGGGATATACGTATGTATGTATTTGCACAATTTACAATTTACAGATGTTTATGGCGTTTCGCTTTTCAAATAAATCACGCTTGTGTAAATGTAAATGTGAATGTAAATATGTGATAGCAACGATTTTCCCCGCTACTGTGGCTGTGGTTCTCCTTCGTTTGCTTTTCCGCCTGCGGTAATAATTGTGGGCGAAGTATGGCGAGTTCTTTGTGAAAATAATGTTGCAGCATTCGAGGCGTCGGTGAGGAATGCCGCGGCACATGACACTCCCAGCTTTCCCGGGTATCTGCAGCTGGACAGTCGGGCACTCTGCTCATCCCGTCACTTCCTGGACGTTCCGCAGCGGCAGCGAACTCGTATCTGTGGGATTTTCCTTTCCGCTGACAGTGCGAGGAGAGTAATCCGCATAATTTTTCCCCTGCACAACACACACACACACACGCACTTGTTTTTCCGATTTCGTATCTTTTTGAATTCACAAAAAAACCATCCAGTATCTGTGTATGTTGTATCTGTATCTGCTGTTTCGATGGATTTGATTCGTATTCACAGCTTTATTTGCTTTGGCGGCTGGCTGTTCGAATTTCAGGGTTTCCCTTTACAACCCGTCAGTTGACATTCCACACACACCCAGCACACCCAGCAACACACACCGAGCACACACACCGAGCACACACACAATCACGAGCGGGGCCAGCTAGGCATCGATTTCTTTGTTTCCGCCGCACCGACTTCTTCACCCGGTTTGGAATAATGGGTTTTAGGAATTTTTCAATTGGTTTCTTTTTTCTGATTACTTTGATTTTGATTTTTCACGCGCCGCGAATCTGTTAGATGGCCGAAAGAATTTCCCTCGAAAGCTCTGGCTCTGGGTTACGCCAAGTGCTGCACTTTGCCGCTCATTTCGCTATAGATTTAAACTCGATCAGCGCTGTTGAACGACTAACGCCTTTCTGTCTACCTCTACCTGATTCCGATACCCAGATACTCAGATACTCGGCTCGGATACAGATACGCTCGGCCACACTCACAGATACAGTACGAGCCTCGTCGCCGCTCGTTCGTGGATCGTCGAACGCTCGTTTCTCGTCTTCGTCTTCGTCTTTTGTAGAGAGTGAGTAAGAGAGAGACTGGGCGCTCGAGAAGATCGGACTGGAAGAGAGCGGATTTGAGAGTTCTCAGGGAAACGACAAAAAGTTTTGGGCTTTCGCCTCATCTCCACGATCATCATTATCGCCGCCCCGATCATGATCACGCACCTAGTCTAGCGCCAGTTTCTCGGCCAGCCAGCGCGACGACGACAAAATCTTCCTCGTTTTCAGACTCGCTCTCGAGTCAATTCTTCACTCACACACAGATACACGTAAAAGATACTCAATCTTGAGTGGGTTTCTCTTGAAGATTCTCACTCGAAGCTCTGAGTTCTGAGCTTTCGCCAGGGGATTTATTTTGCCACAAGGAAAGGGTTTTTCAGGCAGTGGTGAAATGTTGCAAAAATTTAAAGAAAGTACTAGGAAAAAGTATCTTTATAAGGTTGAAAATGGTTGAAACTACAATTTTTAAATAGTTTGTTTCTTTAGAAAAGATTTTTACTTGAGATCTGCAACTGGAAGTTTGTTAAATCGGTTTTAAGGCGAATATTTAGATGATTAAATCTGATTTAAAATAATCTTCTTCATAAGATGTTGAAGAAAACTAAACAAATTCAAAATAAAGTATTCTTGAATAAATATAAATAATATGAAAACCATTTTAAGAGATGAAATTGAGCATCCAACAATGAATATTTATGATATAGATAAAGTCGTAAAGATAAATGCAGAACTTAAGCTCAGAAAACCTAAAAGAATTCCATTTGTTCTATGAAATTTCAAGTAAGTAAGTATTCTATTCTATTTATTCTATTCTATTCTATTCCTTAAAATACCTCTCATTCAAAATTTAAATGAAATATAAACCTTAAATGCTAAGCAAAAAACAGCAGAATAGATTTAAATTTAATCAAGACAAATGTAGTATTTAAAGTCATTCAAATTATTCACAAATCGTATCCAAAAAGTTTTCCACCCATCAAGCTTTCGTTTCTAATTAAATGGTATAAGTTTTAATTACTTTCTACTGTTTTTTAAACTTACATTTCTATATAGTATTCAATAGAGATCCGACTAGAGTGGAGCATTTAGGGCTCTTTGCAGTCCGTTTACAAGATCTCGAGAAATTCGTGTGCCGCACGAGCGCAGTGAGCCGAGTACGAAACCAAACTGTCTGCGCATTCCTGGAGCTGCTCCGCAGTCTGGGATCTTGGATCTTGGAACTGCCAGCCAGCCAGGCAGCCAGCAGAGATGGCGATGGAGGTGGAGGTGGAGATGATGATGAGGATGATGGTCATCATGCCATTCTCATCTCCCTTGGATAGCTTCTATACATACATAGGTGCAAGCGAGAGCTCCTCTCTGCCGCCCTCTCTGTCTGTGTGTGTGCTCGCTTAGGTAACGAAATCCTTGGCAACAAAACACACAAACACACAGAGAACGGAATCAAAAAGTCAGGAATTAGTATAATTTTATTGGTCGGAAGGCAAGAGGTAAAAAAAAGGGCAGCAACGGCGGCAGCCATAGGAATGACACTGCTCGGAGCTCCTTCTCTCTCGCACGCAGACACACAGATACTTTAGACACCAATACCAGTGCACCTGCAGCTAAATGCATCTCTTAACTGCCTTTTCGTTCTTGTTTATTTGTTTGTTTGCTTGTTTGTGGAGATGACTCTGTAGCAAGGTGTACGTACTATGCCTGGCCCACAACTGGATTCCGGACTCTCTGCAGCTTCTACTTGGACTTCGACACACCCGCGCATGCGCAGCCAACATGACTCTGCCACAAAAAAGAAAGAAAGAAAAACGAGAAGATTGTGGCAGTTGTTACCAGCCAAGCAGGTGCTGCTGGCCAGCCAAGAAGACGACCTAAGCCTGGTAGGTGGAGCTGGGCCAAGAACTACAGAAGGTTTAAGCCAACTCAACCAGTCTCCGAGATATTCTCAAAGGGCTGACTGGGTTGGGAAAAGACCATGACTCGAAAGAGAAATAACTTGCAGGAGAAGATACTCTACTATCCCTATTTATACTTCTTTCTAGAAAGTATCTGAAAGGGATCTCTGAAGAAGAAGCTTAGCTAGATCATTTCCTTCCGAGAGATCTCCTCAGCATCTATGTAGCATTCATTCAGGTCCGATGGCGTCGTCTCCTGGTCGCGACGTCTGGACGAGAGACTGACCAAATGGAGCGTTGCCAGACATTCTGGCTTTCGTCGGACTCTCGGACAAGAGCCACACATGGCAAGCTGGCGCCAAGGCTGCTTAAGAGTAGCCTTTGTTCTGTTCCTGTTTTCTTCACTTGTCGCCGTCTGACCGGCACTTGTGCTTCCCTACTTACTGGGATCTGAGCGGCGAGCATCGAATTTCCCGACAATTTCTCCGGTTCCCTAGAACCGGAACATGATGCACACGAAAAGAAACCGCATTGTATATAAGATATTTAGTGATGTCACCCATGCTTCCTTTAAATAATCAGGAATATCTTAGCATATCTATGGCTACATCTATTGTTGTATTCCCTGTAAGATCTTTTAATATTTGCCAGGAATATTTAATAGTATTTAAATGTCTGATACTTAAATAGAATAACTTATTATGTGTTAATACTAGCTGCAGATCAAGTTCTTATTATTAAGCCTAGTTACTCTTCTCTCTACCAAGGCCTTAATTCCGATTCACTTAATTCTGGATATGTATCCGACTCTGTGTCTGCTTAGCTCCACGATGCCCCACCTCTCCGCACACAGTGATTCATGCCCATTGGCGCACACAGAACTCCGCGCCACTTCACCAGCACAGATACAGATACGGAATACAAAGACATATGCTCACACACAGATACAAAAGCAGGGCCACACGATCACTGAGGCAGTGGGAAGAAGGCGGGCTCCAAAGTTCGTGGAGATCCTTTTGTATGTTAATCGTCTGTCGCTCAGTCCCATCTTTTTGTATCTTTGTATCTTTGTATCTCTGAACGTTTGTATCTCCGCCTGGCGCTCTGTGTGCTATGTTCCATTCTGGTTGTGTTGGTGTCGTCGTTCTGTGCTCCTCCTTCTTTTCGCCGCTCTCGCTCTCTCTTTCTCTCGCCCGTTCTCGGTCCGGGCATCCGGCAGATAAACAGATACAGATACATTTGCCTTTGGAATGCTTGGCTCTCCACAACTCAACTTTAATGGCATTTAATTACCTTTTGCACAGCCCCGGCTTATCGCCGTATCTCGGTGGCCGGTGGACCACCAGAAATCGGGTCCTTGAGTGCCTTATCGTAGGTATTTCTTTGTTTTTGCCATCCCTGGCGCTACTTTCACTGGACCAATCCATTATCAGCTGCAGTTCATTTATCAACCTGCTCGTGTGTCATTTATAAACGACTCAGCCCGCAGCGGCAAGTGTCTGGCAAAAAAAAAAAAGAAAACATCTCGCAGCGCAAAAACTCCTTGGCACAGGATGGGAGGGGATCCTGAGGCGTCCCCTGACCACATGCCAGCTCTCTGCCTTCGTCCACATCTTTGGTCTCGGACTCGTTCTCGGTCACAGCAGGATCATCATGATCCCTTTTTGCATTCTGTTTTCCCTGCGACGCAACGGGGGCGTGAGTCCTAATTGTCCTCGAAGCGGATCATCAAAGATGAGGGCTCGATAGCCAGGATATTTTACTCAAGAGTGACAGCAAAAGGATATTTTATCGGACAAGAGTATTAAGCTAGTTACAAATTTAAATTCTTGAGAATTATTTACTTATGAGTGAGGCTACCTTTCAAAACTATATTCATGTGTTTTAATGAACTTTAATTATCAAGAAGAATGAAGAAATGCACTATCAAAACTATGATATCTTGCTACCTAATATATCTTTCCTACCAATCTGATAAAGTCTATAGTGAGCTAATAAAGATATAAATATATATTTCGTAGACACTCCTTCCCCAATTAGGAA